CCCCTCTAAACACTCCATTTACATAAACTGACAGGTCACTCTATCTAGGAAACAAGATGACAACATACCTGTCTGCCTTGCTGCCTGGGCATAAATTAATGGATGCACAGTGCCCAGTCACTGACAAACTTTGAGAGATGTGATGCTATTTAACTGATTCTGGGGACACCTTTGCTATTACATAGTGACTTATGGACTATAGTGCTGTCAGTGAAGTTTAGACTTGTTGCAGTTAATACGCCCTGGTAACTGAAATTTGAACTGTGTTAAGGGACTAGTATTATTACAACAGTAACTGAAATTGTGCATGTTAGAATTGTTTAAAGTATATATAGGGGAAAAATCATACATGCGTGGAAACATAAGCATAGTATACGTGCATATATACTGCATTGTATACTGTGACAGTATATATAAATACATATAAACTAATAATTACACAATAAACGAATAACTACAAAGAGTTGAGTTTAAAGAAGGAGATAGCGAGGAACTAGTAGTTTTTGATTCAAACAAATTTTTGTGTAGTTTGAATTTTTACAAATTAATATTGTAATTTTGTAGAGCAAAATCAAGTGACAGAAAAGATTACTTTTGTTTTCTGTAATCACATCACCTGCCCTGTGTGCATCCTGAGAGAAGTAACTTAAAGGCTAATGAGCATTGCAGGGGAGGTTTGAATACATAAATGCTGGTTGAAGACACATACCTATAGTGGTTATCACAGGACATTTGAAAAAAAAAATGTTTACACAAAATACCCAACTCTTTGCCAGATATTACCCTTGACACAATTACCTTAAAAAGTATTTCAACCATTTCTCACCCTTCCTCTCTCCTGCCTTTAAGGAAATAAGTCTTTTCTTTTTCATTGAAGATATATCATATCTGGACCAATAGAGACTCTAAGGTGGATTATGTCAGCCAGTGGATCTTGACAGAATTTCCTCATCTTTAGATCAATGAAATCAACAGCATTTCAGAACTATTAATACCACTTGAGCAGTACCCTAGCAACATGCTCCACATTGGGAACCCTGGGATGACATCAGGTGGCCATCCCCCATCCCTGAGTACTGATGCAGTTGGGATGCTGGGTGCAGCTTCTCTTCCCAACTCCTCCAGGCACAGGAAGAAGAAAAAGGAAATGTGGAAACAATGGTCTCATTAACTTTCCCTGATGCTTCAAAGCCTTCCCACCCTAATCTGTGGTCCACGTGGGCATTCACCCTTCTCAACTATGTAATCATCAAAAATAACATTTAATAAAAAGAAAAAGCTATCTCTGACTTTTAAACGTTTTGTCTGTTGTAAGATGTGCACACATTCAAGTTGTATGTACTAAATTATACATGCATGCCACAATTTTATATAGATGTATCAAAATTCACAAAAATGGGATGACGAGATAACATGCATTTCTATGAGCTTTCTGAGATCCCTTACATATCATTTGTATGTGTTTGTTTCCAGTTGTAATTTCTGACTTCCCGTAAGATACCTCAGTCAGATTCTAGAACTTGGGGTACTTTAACAGCAACTGTAATAAATGCTTTAAGCTTTGAGAATTAGGATTTTAAAATATGTCAAACATATTTAGTTGCTAAGAAAAGCTAACAGATAGTATCACTGTACAATGTGTCTGCTGTTATTTCCGCTTATTGAAGAATCTCTAATTTGTCACTGGCAGAGTGGGTGGATCCTTTAGCATGGCTGAACTCTTCCCAGCTCGTGAGATGTACTCATTTCCCCTGATATGTTTGGTATGTTAATTGGAAAACAGTCATTCTGCATGACATCTATGCTTTTATATTGGAATTGTTCTATATTTGGCATTTCATTTGAAATGACTTCACTGAGTCCCTTAGTAGAATAGGCAAGATAAGAAGGATAAATATTTGAAGTATAGTTTATCTCACTATCCTGGAAAGGGGCAAACAATGTCTTACCCATGTTCAGGAAACTGACATGACTTAGGAATCCAAGCATTACAAGGAGCTGATGAGACCGGATAACCTGCCCCCTTGTCTTCAGTCAGGGATACAACTAGGGCAGCCTTGCAGAAATCAAGTAGAAAATAGGATAACTGCTTTCATTTGTTTAATTTCCTAGAGCAAGAACAAAATATCCACATGGCATTAGCAGTGCTTGGTTTTCTTGCACCTTACCATCTGTAAGATCATCCTGGGTTGCTGGCTGCGCTCAGTGTTGTAGGTAAAACGTACAACGCTGAGTTCATTTGGATCATCTGTGCTGAGGCAGTAGTTTTCTGTGTGGTGGATTAAGCCACCACGTGTGATGCCTGCATCCAGTATCAGAGGGGTTTGTTTGAATCAGCACACCTTGGCTTCTTATCCAGTTTCCTGGGAAGCAGCAGGTAATGGTCCAAGTGCTTGGACCTCTGCCACCTACATGTGAGACTCAGATGGAGTTCCTGCCTTCTGATTTTGTTCTTGACCCAGCCCTGCCTGTTGTAGGCACTTAGGAGTGAACCAGCAAATAGATGACTCTCTCTCTCTCTCTCTCCTTTTCCTCTCTACACTGCCCCTCAATCTCTTTCTGCCTTTCAACTAAAATTTTACAAAATTAGATGGTTTTAAAGATAATTTACGAGTGGTACCTCTGTGAAATTCTCCTACAATGAATGGGATGATAAGAAGTTGCATTTTGGCTGCTTGTGAGATCAGCCATGTAAAGATAGGGAGCTAGCTAGCCTTTTTAGAAGTTTAAATGGAGTTCTGCACACTTGCTGGAGAAGTGTCTGTTATCGTCCGAGCACTGGCAGGAATGTCCGCATGCTTGTGTCTATGACCAGGCCTGCATGGTGGTCATCCTCTTTATCTCTTACCCAATGGGGCAGGTATATTTGTTCTTCACAACCTCAGCCTTCTCTGGTCAACACTCATGATTTCATGTTTTATCATTTTCTTCAGTACCAATTCTCAGCATGCATACCTGCTAGGTCCTTTTTCAGTCTTTCTTTACATGTTAGCCCTCCTGAACTGTTCACAACCCTTTGAAGTCCCAAATCCGAGGACTGAAGTCACACATTCTATGAGAAGAACGATCAGTGCTGGGGATTAAGAGATCATCCTGAAAGCCCTCTAAATTGTCTTTTCAGTGAACAACCATAACTGGTGAAAACTATCTCTAAGTAACTGTTTAAAGCCTCTGAGAATTCTCCTGAAGGACACACAGCTCATGAAACAGTTCTTAAAGCAAATTACTAAATATCGATTTTAAAAGAGAACCAGTCTGTGGCACATGAGGCATGACCCACTTCCCCTCTCTCCCTGCCCCAGATCAGAGAAATGGAAGCTTCATTTCAGGTGTGATGAAATGAAACTTCTTTCCCTCCAGTTTCCAGTTACTAGACTTTCATCATCCGTAGGAGGGACAAGTTGCCAGCATCCTCAACTCCACCAGCTAAATTTCATTCTGACCTGCCAACATCCAGGGGCTTCAAACAGCTTAATCACCTGAGCAACGTTCAATAAATCATACCTCTGTATTGAAATCCCAATCTAACCTGCCATCAGTGGAATTTGCTGGTTGGTGAACACACTGATGTCCCAGGAAGAGGACCCATCCTGATTCCATAAGAAGACGTAAAAGCTCTGTGTTCAGCAACCTTGAAATCCACACAGTATGATTCTTCACTTGTGGGATGTGAAGTGACTTTGGCTGATTGGTGCTGGAAGTAAACTTCAGTATACCTATTGACATCAGAATAATGGCTAACAGATATTCATCCCAGGAAGGCAGCATTGGTTTAACATCTGAACATCAATTAATGTGATATACAATGTCAATGGAATAAAGACCAAACATTACCTAAACATATCAATACATGTAGGAACTCATTTGACAAAATCTGGTACAATTCAGGATAAAAACCACTCAAACGAACAATAGAAAAGAGCCCACTTACCTGATGAGAGCATCCGTGAAAAGCCTTGTAGCTAATACTGTTTTTAGTAGTAGAATTCTCCTCCTCCTGTTTTGATGTAGATCCCTGATGATTGAAAATGTTCTTGGTGGTTGAAGGAGTTTCCTGTTTCCTTTGTTTAGCTTTATCATGAAGAAATGTTGGATTTTGTCGAACGCATTTTCTGTGTCTGTTGAGATGATCCTGTAATTTTTAAATTCTATTGATACACATTAAGTTTTAGATGGAGAATCCACTTTGCACTCCTAAGATAAATCCCACTTATTTTATTTTTGTTGCTGAGTTTGGTTTGCTTATAATAGTTTGGATACTTTTCTATGCATGTGCATGAAAGATAAGTGGGCTGTGTTTTCTGTGTATTGGTTGGGTTTGATATTTGATAATATTGGCCTTAAAAAATGAGTTGAGGAGTGTTCTATTTTTTGAAAAATGCTTTGAAGAATTGCTATTCTTTTTCCAAGTGTTTGGTAAATTTAAGAGTGACACCACCCAAGCCTAGACTTTCTTGTTGATTTTTTTTTTACTATTATTATTACAAATTCAGTCTCTCTGCTTGTTATAGATATATTCAGATGTTTATTTCCTCTTGACTCAATTTGCTGGTTTGAGTTCAGTAGTGTATCCCCACAGTTCAGGTCCATGTGGCACCTATGCATGGGATCTAATTTGGAAGTAGGGTCTTTGCAAATGTAATGAAGTGAAGATAAGAGAGAAGCTAAAAAAAAGAAAAACTCCTTCACCAGAGTGTTTAGATGGAACACAGCCCTACCGGCCCTTCCTTCAGAGGTGCTGCCTCCAGCAGTCTGCAGGAATATATTTCTATTGTTTTGTGGCACTTCAATGTGGAAATCTTAAGAAATCGGGGGAATTTCTGGAAACTTGTTCATTTCACTTGAATCCCTAATTTGCTAACCTATAGTTGTTTTGTAGTTTTCTCTAATCATCCTTTTTATTTCTATGAAGTCCATAATAATGTTTCTACTTATTTAATTTATTTTGAAAGGTAATGCCGCTGAGGAAGACAGACAGATATCCCATCTTCTGGTCCACTCCCAAAATGCCCCAAACAGCCAAGGCTGAGCTGGGTTGACACCAGAAGGCAGAAACTAGATCCAGGTGCATGAAGTTGGAGACAGAAACCCAACTGAGAATCAACTGTTGCCTCCCACAGTGTGCGTTATCAGAAGTTGGAATCAAGGGCTGGACCAGGACTCGAACCCCGGCACTCCAGGAGGGAAAGCAGACATCTCAAACAGAAGAGGTGCTATACTATCAGCCAGAATGTCAAATGCCCGTTCCTAATTTTTTGATTCAAGTAGTTTGAACCATTCTTTTTACTTCTTGGTTTAGGTAAGGCTTGTCAGGTTTGTTAACAGTTTCAAAAAGCCAAATTTTTGTTTTCTCTGTTTCCCATCTCATTATGGTTTCACTAAACCTTACTATTTCCTTCTTTCTTATTTTGGGGTAAATTCATTTTTTAGTTTCTTAACATATAATTTAGGTTATTGATTTGACATCTTTCTCTCTCTTTTTTTAATGTAGTAGGCATGTGCAGCTATGCGTATTCCTCCAGGCACTGGTTTATTGCATCCCGTTAATGTTGGTATGCAGTATCCTCACTTTTGTTCACCTCAAACTCTTCTCTGCTTCTCCTTTGCTTTCTTCTTGGGCCCATGTGTTATTTATTAGTGTGTTGCTTAATTTCCATGTATTGCAAGTTTTCCTACATTTTCCCCTGCTACTATGTTCTAATCTCATTCCCTTGTTGTAGTCAAAAAACAGGTAGAACACCTAGTGCCTCACACCTTTACCAAATATTTTTAAACAGACTTTACTTTTTTTTTTTTAAGAGAATTTTCGGGTTACAGAAAAATAGAGCAGAAAACGTTGGGCTGTTACACACCTCCTTCTGCCAGGCACATGCAGCCTCCGTCACGCTCAGCATCCCATGGCGGAGCAGTGCGTCGTTTATCAGCAGGGAGTCTGCACTACACATGCTCATCTTCCACAGTGCTCAGGCTTCATTAGGGCCACTCTGGGCGTTAGATGTTTCAGGGATTTTTACCAGCCTATCTATTATTACTATGTTATTCAAACTAACCGATTACCCTACAAATGCCCTGTGTTGTGCCTAATCTTCCTTCTTTCCTCTCTAACCCCTCCTAGGCACTGGTATTTCCCAAGGTATATTTCATAGCTAGTCTGAAAAGATAACATGGAAAAAAAATTCTTTGTTGAATAATCTTCAGATTATATCTAAGTAATTCCAAAAGTTTGGCTTCTAGATCTTACCGCACCTTACAGTAAGACTAGACAATGAGTGTAACTGGAGAATGATTAGTATTGCACCCATTCCACTAAAACTAGAAATGAATGAGCAGTGATTTTCATTGTGTAGGTGTTGAAGCTGAGCCTGTGAAAGGGAAACCATATTGCACTGGGTCGTGTCTCCCCAAAAGAGCATGTCCACCTAGAGCCTCAGCATATCACTTCACTTGGAAATGGAGTCTTTGCAGACATAACCGATTAAAAGGAATTCATACTTAGGGTAGATTCTGATCTAATGAGTGCCATGAAAGAGAGAAAATGGGACACAGATCTGAAAGGGGAGAATACTGCGTGAACATCTAGAGATGCAGGAACACAAAAGAGGAGACTGCAGAGAAAGGCAGAGCCTGGGGACCTGCCACCCTGAGCAGAGAATGCCACCGGATGCCACAATTGTGAGAAGTCAGGGAGAGAGAAGCAGAAGGTCCTCAGAGCCTCAGTAGGAAGCCAGGCTCCCCACAAGAGAAATCTCTGCCTTAAACCATCCAGTTTATGATACTTTGCTACAGCAACCCTAAGAAACCAATAGAAAAACTACATAACTTAACTCTGTGCAAATATTTGTAATTTTTTAAAAAAATCAATATGGAATTCTAATTGGGTAGTGCTTGCTTACTGATAATACAACTTAGTGTTCACCTCCAAAATGCTATCAATTTAGATGTGTCCTCAACCTACAGGCACTATCATTATTACCAAAGGATTTTAACTGTATATTCTTTAAGAAAATTGTGTTTCTTTTGTGTTAAGTGTTTGTGAATCAGGAGTAATATTTGTATTCTCTTTCCAGTTCAGAATAATTCTTTAAAAAGCTTTCAACCATCCTGCCACTTTACTCAATTCATTGATTAGTTCTTTTTTGCTGTTTTTGTTATTTTAAAGATTTATTTGAAAAGCAGATTGACAGGAAGAGACAGAAACAAAGAGAGAAACAGAGAGAGGGGGAGTAAACAGTGGTTCACTCTGCAAATACCTACCATATCCAGGGCTGGACCAGGCCAAAGCCAGGAGCCAGGGACTCCAGGTGGAATCCAGGTGCTTGTGATCCACATGCATTATCAGGAAGCAGGATCAGAAATAGAGTAGCTGGGGTCCAGTGCAATAATCTAGTGGCTAAATCCTTGCCTTGCATCTGTAGGGATTCCATATGGGCACCAGTTTGTATCCTGGCTATCCATTTCCCATCCAGCTCCCTATCTGTAGCCTGAGAAAGCAGTAGGGGAAGACTCAAAGCCTTGGGCCCTGCACTCGCGTGGGGGACCCAGAAGAAATTTGTGGCTCTTGGCTTGGGATCAGCTCAACATTGGCTGTGGCAACAAATTGAGAAGTGAACCAGTGGATGGAAGTTCTTTCTCTCTATGTATCTGCTTTTCAATAAAATATTAAAATATCTGCTTTTTAAAAAGAAAAGAAAGGAAGAAGTGGAGTAGCTGGTACTTGAACCAGACACTCTGATATTGACTGAGGGTTTCCCAGGTGGAATTTGGCCCACTATACTGCAATGCTGACTTTGAATTAATTTATTCAAATTCTTCAGAGTTTTCTGGATACAAGACCATTTATGCCGTTTGCAAACTGATACAGCATTCCTTCTTTCTAGTTTAGACAACTTGGGTTTCTTCTTTCCTGCCTGGTTACTCTGGTTAGGACTTCCAATACTGTGGGAAATGGAAGTGGCAAGTCAGCATTCCTGTTTTTTTTCATAATATTAGGGAAAAAAGGTTCAACCATTTACTCACTGTTGAGTTTGCTGTTAACCATGGACTTGGTACACTCAGCCTTTGTTGGGTGAGGCACATTCCTTCTGTGTCTAATTTGTTGAGAAGTTTTTGTTGTTGTTGTTGTTGTTGTTTTTCTTCATAAAAGGTGTTGAGTTGCGTCCAACAAGATAGCCAAGATTGAGAAAAAAAATCTAAATGTCCATCAACAGATGAATGAATAAGGAAAATAAAGCATCTCTACCAAAAAGAATATTATTTGGCATTTAAAAAGAAGGAAATGCTGGTGTAGATGTGGTGAGAAAGGTACCCTCCTTCAGTGTTGGTGGGATTGTAGGTTAGCATGACCACTATCGAAGTCAGTATGGAGAGTGCTAAGACAACTGAAAATTGATCTGACATATGACCCAGCTATCCCACTCGTGGGAGTATATCCAAAGGAAATGAAATCTGCATAGAAGAAAATGACCTGTACTCTTATATTTATAGCAGGACCATCTACAATAGTAAAGATGAGAACAAGCCAGATGCCCACCAAAAGAGGAGTAGATAAAGAAACTGTGGTATATTTACTCTATGGAATACTATTCAGCCACTTTAAAAAATGAAATTCTACCATTTGCAACGAAATAGTCCCAACTAGAGACCATTGTGCTTAGTGAAATAAGCCAATCCCAATCGGATGAATATATGATTAATAGATAGATAGGTAAACATGTAGGTACATATAGTCATCTAGAGGAACAGTATAATAGAGACTATCATATCGAGATGTGAAGACACAATGTAGCATGCATCTCTACTTCCAAATCAAAGAAGGACTCCCAATAAAGTTGCTAAATATATCTTAATAGTAGGATGTTGGGCTCTGCCATTGTCCATACCTACAATGTCAGGATACACTTAAATAGCAGAATGATGGACTTATAACTGCTTTTAAAGGACTTTACTATTGTGATGATATAGAGGAAATCAATAGGGGGTAGGGACTTGAGGAGGGGAGAGGGGGAATCCCAGAGCCTATAGAACTATATCATCAAAATAATTAATTAATTGATTCATAATTTTTAAAAAAATAAAAGGAAAACCTGGCACTGGGCTTGTAGGATATTATGGTCTTACTTATAGGTGGATTCAAAAATAGCCAAATTCATGAAGCTGAGAGTAGAAGGAGGTTACCTGGAGCTAAGGAGAGGATGGGAAGGCAGATGTTGGTCAAGGGCTGTAAGTTTCACTGTGCAGTTAAGTAAGTTATACAGAACTGACGTATAGCATCGTAACCATTGGTAACATACTGTACTAAGACCTACAGTTTACTAAGACAGCACATGCTAAGTGTTCTCACACACAAAGGGGGGAGGGAAATTATATGAGGTGATGTACATAAATTAATTAGCTTTATTAAGATGATTATTTCACAAGATACATGTGCATCAAATCAACTTGTACACCTTCAATACTTGTAGGAAAAAAGATGCTGGAATTCACAGTTTATTAAACATTACTTTCAGATATAACTACTACTTTTCCCCCCTCTCGTTTTATGGCACATTGGCAGTGTAAGTCAAGCTTATTCTGAAAATAAGATCTTTTCATTTGTCCTTCAGAAATAGCATATGGTAGCCAGATTAGGTTAAAACAATGGCATACCATTGGTCTTTGTCAGTAGACTATTAATTGGCTTTTTCCTAACCTCAAACATTATCATAAGTGAACATCATCTCCTGATCTCCATCAGGCTGCTGTTCCCCAGCCACCCCTAGAGTAAGAATGTCCTAGGAATCTGATGAGCATTTATCCAGCCCACCTCCTTCTTTTACAACATCCTTCTGGAGCCTGGGATCTGTGGGTGGGGAGGCAGAGGAAGGAAAGGAATCTTAAAGACAAACATAGGCCCTCAAAGGGAAATATTCTGTCTAAAAATATGGATTGTCCCCAACCCACAAGAACAGCTCTGTCGCTCTTGGTTTTGGTGGTTGGCAAGGGCTGCTAGTGGTTTTTGGAGGGATGCTTACTAGTGACCTCTGCTTAAGGAAACTCCTGGTTTTGTTCACTGTGTGCCAAGGCGGACAGTGGCATAAGTGGGCAGAACCCATGTAGATACAGCATGTTGGTGTAAAGCCCTTTCTTACCTTATATGTTGCTTTGGATTTTTTATATCACTGCCTTGTGCATCATCATCCTCCCTGAATTCTTACTCCAGATGACCCAAACTCTGGCAAGACACTGTGAAGATGAAGGGATGAGCTGAATTCAACAGATTTTTTTTTTTTTTACTTAAAAAAGGGGTTTCCTTTTGTCTCC